CTCCTCCTTTATGAGACACTGGATTGGTTTATAAATTTCACTCTCAGTTTGTTCCTACCCTAATAAGTCCATGTTTCCACCCACGTTCAGCCCAAAATTTCTTACGGTTGTTCCCAGGTGTGCATCTGCCATTTTGAAAATTTCAAACTTCACTGGCCTCTGATGGCTAATCCTCTTCCATTACGTATGGCAACCTGTAATCACAGAGTGCGAATAGTGTGCAACGTGCATCACTTTTTGCCACTTCAAGTACATCATTCAGGTATAATTAACAGTACGCTATATCCCACTGCAATTCACAGTGCGAACACACTATTTATACTAAAAGTGGCTTCAACACCACGGATGTACTCGATTTGAGACACAGCTATGGTGTCATTCGCACGTATCAACACCTTTGGGCAATCCTCCATCTAAAGGGCCTCGGTGATCGAGAGCACTCTCTCCGTTTTTGACACTGTCATATCCTGTATATTTCAGAGTGCCCTTCTCTTGCATGTACGATAAGGCTCTCCGTGTGCCAGTGGAGGCCACGATGGCCCCTTTAAGCACACTCTCTGCTGGAGAGGCTGTTCGGAATCGCTGGCCCCAGCAATCTCCTTGCCAGCCCCCTTCCTCCAGGCGCCCCGACACTGTCTCAGGCCCTGAAACTATGGCAACGGAATAAGAAAGCACTCTCCATGATTAATAGATGAGAGAGGCCGTGCCAATCGCGCTGGGCCTGGGGACGGGACAGATGTACTCTCCCTCCTCGGCGACTCGCCGCCTCACACCGCCGCGGCATGCTCAAAACCTGGCCAGGCGGAGGAAGGAGCTGCGCATGCAAAACACAACTACAGAACGCCACTGCTAAAACTCTCCTGGTAGGGCTGCACAATAGCGTTAATTGTTATCACAATATCTCTGCAATAGCACTGCAGAATGTAAATTAATACATGTTTATATGTGTGCTGTGAGCTTTCAGGCCAACCACACCTGACACTCCAGTTGCATTTCTGTGACTGTCTGCGTGGATCAAGACATGCACATGATTTGTCAAATGCAAATCATTCTGGTCAAAAATAATGAAGGACAATCTTTAACCATGTCACATCAAGCATTCACTAATGTGTTTCTAATTTGTTGTCAATTATATTGTAATTGTATTGTCCACATTACACAGCCATTCCTTTTAAATGCTGGGAAAGAAAATGCAGAGAAAACATTTCACATGCTCATGCGCAAGCAACAACACTGAAGCAAGCCTTGAGAGGCAACCAGTGTGAACAGGGGAAAACACAGGCCTCATGCTATCAGTTGACCATGGCCGTGTTTTACCTCAACACGGTGTGATATTATATCCACGATAGGGATATTTACTTACAAAGTGACACTTTGCCAAGGAAGCAACTAAATCAAGTGACAATAAATCAACAAAGCAAGTCTAGAACAATGTTTACCTTCTACACTGTGTTTACATGTTAGCCAACATAGAATCTGTAAATGTAGGTTTTTTTTTTATTTGTCTTGTTTTTAGAACAACCACTATAATGACTATGACAACAAACTAAGCTAATACCCTATTCCCTTAATAATGACATACAGACCTGAGGCAATTATGAAAATACTTTTGTGGCTTTAAAGATCGTGGACAAGTGTCCAGTGTTATATCAAAATCAAATCACGGTCATAAATGACAAAATGCCTCCATATCTCTTTGCAATGTACAGAAGATGAGGACCGTGTTACAATTTCAAACATGGTTGGTTTTCTTTCCTTTATTTGGGCTGGTTGAATTTCAAAAAGCAATCTTATCATTACCATCACAATGAAACCATTAATGAGGAAGAAAATCCACACATGCATGCACACACACACACACACACATACATATCTCCAACGCCAGAAGACTGTTCTTTTAATCCACAGCCAGGATTCAGAGTGAGTGGGTTGGTGCGCCAATAATGACAAGATAGCAAGTCGACACTAGTTCTACCCATCTGTATACCGCTGAAAGAAAAATGGTTATTTTTGTTCACTGCAATGTTCATGACCAGTGTAAACAGATAGTGGAACATTCATTTCAGCATTATAAACAGAAAGGCTTAATGAAAAAAAATTATTGAACATTTTATTTCTACATATATAAGCCCTTGCGTACAATATGAACTAAAACTGCTACAATTATCAGACACCTCACTCCTTCTACCACCCTGCTAGTGTGCTTATAAATAATACATGATCATGTAAATGACATGAAGTCCAAAATCCGTGCGACATATCGACAGTAAATCTGAAGCCATGATTTACACAGGCTCACTTATCGCAACTGAGTGTAATTCATAAGTGTGCATCAATTATTCAGGCTGAGCAAATCTGCCTGTCCTTGACAGGGAAAATATAAATACACCACTGCAAGGAGTGATTCAAGCCCACTAGTGTGACAAATCCACATCAGTCACACACAATGGCAGACTTACTGCCATTGTTGAGGGGAGAAGATCAAATGCCTCACAGAGCATTGCTCCATATAAAAATAACATTATTTTTTTCCATCCCTTCGAAAAGTTCACACAAAAACAAATAATATTGTAACAATAAGAAAACTGTGAGCATTTTCAGATTGCTGAGATTTAGAAGGGAAACTGGATCAAGCATTCCACTCAGTCACTCAGTATTATTGAGGCATTCAAGGGTGAAAACAAGAAAAAGAGCTTGGCTTGGGTCAGCAAATGGTATCATAGCGCTGTATTCTTATGTTTTGTTTAAATGCAACAAAATCCTTCATTAAAAGATTTCAATTGTTCATTTTGATCATTATTGATTTACATTTTTTTTCAATAGGAAAAATCATTCAGCATTCATTTCAGAAATAATTTCTATTCAACTCCCTTACCAATAACACACCCAACAAAACATCCTTTTAACTACCTCAAATGCGACTTGAACCATACAAACATTACAGACATGGTCAAACGGACTGATTGCTCACAGAGCGTCGCCAGATCTCAAGCACCCAATCTGCCCTTTTCATACTTGCAATATAACTGTACTGGTAGGTGGGGAAGCTGCAAGCCATCTGGCAAGCTGATAGGTGGGATGCATCATCCCTGTGGGTCATGACCAGGAACCTGCTTTTTTCCCCCCAAATCAATTCCAAGAATTCAAATGAATCAATATCAGAGTGTGGGCTTGCTGGGTTACATGAAATCCACTGTTAAATACAGCAAAAACAAAGCATTAAGCACCAAATATAGTACTGGCAATTAATGAGCTTCATTCACAACAATCCTCAGAACATAACTGTAATGTGCCATTAATTAATATGAATATTTCATTCAACTGCCTTTTTTACTGCCCTGTAGATTTGTTCCTATATAGTTCATAGTCCTGTACATCTGTGCATGTAGGCTAATCTCAAAAGAGCCTCTGCCTTAGGACATCCCTTATTTATGATCGACAAGGCACAGAAACTTCCCAACCATTGTCATACCTAGGAACCTGATTAACAACAGAAGAGACTGCAAGTGAAGGAAGAAAGTGAACATTCATGACCAATTAAAATCCGTGCTTAAGGTCTAACCCAAAAAAGCACAATATAAAAGCCTCTTTGAATCATGTGAATGTAAAGCTACACTGATAGTTTTGGAATCTTGGCATGGTCAAGGTGGCAGCTTGCCATCAGAGAAAAAAAAAGGAGCTGAGAGAGCGGCGGACAATGAGCTTAACAAGTACCATCTAATGCTTCGCCATTAAATCCGTTACCATCATGTTCTCGGTGATCAGTGCAGAGAATCATGAGAAGACTGAATGGTTTCGTCTTAGGCTTTGTCATGCTGTTAAATGAGCAAAAACAGATGCTCTGTATTGTTGCGACCAGGGAGAAGTCTGGCCTGTTCAATGTGGAGAACGGAGCTGGTGAGGACAGAGCTGACATGGTCACACCCTAGGTGACCTCAGGGGCCAAAGGCAACTTCAGCTGGTGACCACCCTCCTGAAGGCCTTAATCAAGACCACATATGAACATTCCCGCACCTGTAACTTTGATTTAGGTGGGGGGAAATTCATACAAAGCTTTTGTCTTCTTTGGAAGAAAAGCAGAATGACTGAACCGCGAAGCAATTTCTATCTCCACAGAACTGCTACTACTTTAAAGGCTCTTTGTGTGGCGCGGCTATATCTGTCTGGTTCAGAATATTTTGAGAAAGCTACAATAACGAGGTTACATGGGCTAAATACTGACTGTAAAACACCAGAAGAACGGAGAGAGCTTAAATTTCATTTCTGCCTGAAAGCAGATCAGCGAGCTCATTTAACATTTCACTGAATAAAACACAGAGCCTTCATCTCAGGCGGAGCGGCAACATTTAGCAATTACCATTCATTTGAAAAACAAAGCCTCGCCACATTTTTTACGAACAACTTGTACAATTTAATTCATATTGCTAACATTGTTCTGCTTAGTGAGAAATTCAGATATTGCGTTATGTAATCCAACCCCCACCACAAAATGTAAAAATATATTTCACGAGTAACTTAAAAGACGTAAATATATTCTCAAGAAATCTCCAGACCATTAACTAGCTAACACCTGAGCTCTCATACTGTACCCTCGCTCTGTTTGTAGCCACACATATAGCAGCAGCAGGTGTAACAAAGCTAAAGTTCATCACACAACAGAAGCTGAACGACAGTTTTCAGTAACTCAATTCTCACGCCGTGAACCCCAAGGCATTGAAGTTTACGAGAGTGACGTCAGCTCAGGCTATTGCATAGCAGCGCGCTTGAGTGTGTAAATCCGCCTAACACCTCCACGGGCACATGCGAGGCAAAGTAACAAAACAAAAGCTGTTCAGTTGAAAATAAACGTGGACGTTGGAAATACATACCGTCTTATCGCGGACCACTTAATTTAACGCACAATTCACAGCATATGTTACACAGCATACGGATAGAGAACAATCCCCGTTAGTGTGGGCTACTTTCCCAGAGCCGCCGCTGCTCCTTTATGGGTTACATACCGTGTCAGCGCGCCCCTCTTCACACCGGAATATCCATTGGAAATCCAAGTATCGAAACAATCCGTGAGAGCGAACCGTGAGCTGAAACAAAGTGCGGGTCCGACAGAACTAGTCAGTGAATCGGTCCGAACCATTCGTAGCTCCGGAGCACCAAAGCGGCTGCTCATCCTATTTGGAGATGAAGGCTTCTCACCAGCACGCAGCTCTCCCAGCTGTCACCCGCTACACACTGGGAGGAGCCAAAGCGGAGAGCCGAGTGTGAGGAGCGGGCTCTTTTGTTTACTAAGCGAACACACACACACACACGCTCTCAACTAGTGAGGGGAAGTTCGATTCAGTTTACCGAATCGATTCCGTTTCAAGGAACAGAACCTCCGTTAAATCATAAGTCAGGTCAACTTTATTTTCATCTCCATGATTAAATGAATCAGAGTGAATCTAATGCCGCTACTTTTACTCACAGACTCTGAATGAACAAAACATAAACACATAAAAGTAGAATGAAGCCAGCTACTGCGTCCGGAGAGAAAATGCGAATTAAAATAGTTACATTAATAGGTTAAATGTCAGGTTTTATATTACAATTATGAGAGGCGACGTTTTGAAAAACTGTGTCTATTAGGCTATTCAAACTCAAACAGAAGTCTTACGTACACAACACGGACGCAAACACTGAGTATTTTATGAGATGGGGTAAGAACCCAGATTCAGTTGGACTTGTGAATCGGTGCGGCCAATTTATTAAGATGAACCGATTCAAAAGACGACTCGTTCACGAGTCGCTTCGCACAGCGTCTTCAGCGGCTAAGCTAGGTTTCGTCAGTTGTATTGTTCGGTGCGTTTATCTTGAACAAGGCTGTCGGATTTAAAAGTGTTTCTGAAGTGGTCGTTTTTTGTCTTTTCGGCTAACGAGTTCCCACAACAATGGAGTCAACCACGTTATGAATGAAGGCTATCCAAGCTAACCCCCACAGCCCTGCCGCTACAGCCCCCCAAACAAGACGAAGACGAAGCGACCTGAGGGCGAGGCCCGGGGCCTCCATGTCTTTTGTCTGTGGGGAAAAAACACCACGCCGGTGGTCCCGTCATGTCCAGACACAGGCTTTATAAATCGCTCTCCGGTCTGATCCCCATGCCGCTCAGTCAGTGTAAAAGAACAAACGGAGCACCGAAGTCGTCACTGCTGGTTGGCTATGGTCAGAGTTTTTGTGAAATCAAAGGCTGGTGAGCCTACGCAGTTAAAATGCCAGCTCACACCTAAACTGGTGCAGTGTGACTTTCAGATGAGTTGGGCTACACTATTGTTAGATTATTTAGAAAGGTGCGAGTCATGTACAACATGGTGATTTACTCCAGAGCACTGCATGTGCTCATTAGGTTCAGATTTCCGAGCTAACCTCATCAATCAGCAGTCCCTCTGTGACGATTAAAAGGTGCCTCTTACCATATGTGGGGTGCAATTTCTTTTGACCCTACAAATAAGAGCAAATTCAGAAGGTCATCAGTTTAGACTATCAAGTCATGCTTTGTCGCTCACAGACATTGTACTTTAAGTTGCATTCAGTGTATGAAAGCTGCTGCTATATAAATAAACATTGAAGTTATTATAAACAATAACATTAACAATAATGGCAATTATAGCCATACATTATTATTATTTTTATTAATATTATTGTTAATCGGCAGAAAAAGCTGTGGATTTATATGTGTGTGTGTCTTGTCTAGTTTGGTGTATTTCTAGATCTCTTATTCAGTATGTTTTAAGTGTTAAAATATTCAATTCAAAATAAAAAACCAAGACCTGCTAGCAAGGAAAATTCTAAGTAACAGCTCAATGAAAAAATGAGAAATACATACATAATTTTGAGTTTACCTGCATACTGTATGTACTGGAAATGCAATACTGTAGCTTTATTATTATTAATAATAATAAAAGTAATATTTATAGTTATTACAGATATACACTTTGTTTTTCTACATTTTCATTTAATTTCATAAATTTGTAAATTGATTTTAGTGCAGTTATAACTTGTCTAAAGTATGGGACTCCTTTGCTTGTTTGAAATGCTTTTGGACTTGTTATAGTTAAAATCTCCACATACATTGATTTCATTAATGAGAAGCAGGCTGTTAGCTTGCAGTGGCAGAACACTATAGTCCAAACTGTAGAGGCTGTACTTAGGTTTGGAGATATTCACCCCTAAACTTGAGATGGGCCTGCGCACAGAGGGTTTGTGTCAAGCAATGAATAAGTCAGGGACTCTTCACCACATCATTGTAATAGACAGTGACAGCTAGAAAGCTGGCCATTCGGAACATCTTCAGGGATGGTCACGAAGTCTCAGTCACAAACGGTGGAAAAGGATGCCTTGTGTGAGATGAGGCACCAGAACCCCACCTTTGTATTAAGTGTGGTATGTTGCAGATTCTCCGGTTACTTTTCTGGGCTGGTCCAAACGGGTAGGTGTAGGTAAACCAGTGGATTTTTCGTAACAACTCTACAGAGACCCCTTGTTGAATAAATAATTCTGCTGGCACCGGCACACGATAGTGCTCATCAATTTTTCAGCCTCTGCATTTCAGTTACTTCTTCTAAGGGTGCAAAAGTAGCCCATGTGCATGTGAAGCATTATCTACCTATTCGAAGCATACATTTTTCATGCTTCCAGCAGCGCAGTTGAGTCATTCATCCTTTCCCGCTGGGCATCTCAGACAGAGACAGTTTGTTGGTAGCTCGATGACCTCAAATCAGTGCACACTGAATTCCATATCAAACGTGAACAGTATGAACTCACTTTGGCTGACCTGCAGTAAGTGGTGGCAGTGATATTGTGATAAAGTGCATCACAACATGGGTTCAAATCTCTTCACAAGGCCCTTTGATAAGCCTGTGTTTTTTGGGTGAGGCCATTATAAACATAAGCCCATTCATTTCTGATAAACAGGACCAAAGGGTTCTTTGTCTTTACAGCCTTGAAAATCATAACAGCCATAACCAAAAGATTTAAAAGGTCAGTTCTGTAGAGTGTCAGTGGTGAAGCATCTCATGTCCATAACCACGAGCAAAACACTTGATGGTTCTCTACAAGTTTTTCTTTGTAAGAATCTGCCTGTTTACAGGGGTAAGTCAAAGAACTCCAAAATTGCTTATGCTAGGAGAGCACATACTACCTATCAAAAGCGTAGTGGCATCTAGCCTTCCATTGTTTTTCGTAAATAAATGTCTTCTTTTTTTAGTCTGCAATAACCTAACATAAAGTAGAAAACGACCATAGATCTTGCCATTTTTCTTTGCAAAAGAAACTGAAGGAACAACTGACAAAACTACTACCTTAGGAATAATGACATAACCCCCTCACACACATTTTATCCCGTTGTTGGGATGTCAGCCTTCATCAGCATTGAAACCTTTCAGGTGTTTAAACTACCCTTGGGGCAAAAAGATTTTCAATTTGTGTTGTGTGAATGACAGTTCATTTCCTTTGAAAAGCAAACTGTCAAATTATTATTTAGGCAGAATCTACTATTCATACCACAATCTGAAGAACATGAAACTGAGTGTTAGCAAACAGCTGCTTGTGTTAACAAAGCCTTTGCAGGTATTCAATTCAAACGTGAAAGTCAAAAATCAAACATTACTCTGAAAATTTCAAAAGACAGGAAAGCGTCCCAAAACGTATCAGGCACTATATATACATATTTCACTTACGAGTGTTGACCTCTTTGACAGAGAACAAGTTGGACTGTTCAGTTCCCTAAAAACAAGAACAGACACAGCTTAAGAGGCTGTTAGCGAAGGCTTTACTACCAATAATAGCATTACAGCACCATGCAGATATATAGACCCTGATTAATCAGAAAGCCACATGTTTCATTGTACGGAAACTACATGCCCTATAAGACCAGAGGCCAGAATTTCTCTCAACACAAATTTCCCAAGGAAACCCCGGCAGGACTCTGGAAAAAGACATACTCAGCTAAGCAACTGGCAAAGTTACAAGAGGGAACATGTGTCCTTCCTCTTGCTAGGTAGAAAGTCGAGATAAGCAGATTTATTGTCTCACCGCTTTTCTCCAAGTCCTCTGGTCAGAAACTGTATTTCTTTCTGTCATTATTGGCTACTCAATCACTCTTTGGTTTATGTGTCAGATAAAAGTAATTTTGTAACTCTGGAAATAGGCTGGCAAGTCAATAAGTAATACAGAAACCATCTAATACCACATCATTTTTGGATCAGTGGATCAATATGTCACCATTATTTTATGCTCTTAATATAACCTCTTGAAATGCTGAATTATGACTTTAGCAATAGTCAATAACTGTACTCTAGTGAGATTTTTAGCTGACAGATAGATAATATTAGAAGAAAGAAGCTTAAATTGATCCATCCTTTCAAAATAACAAATAACTTATGTAATATGTAAACTGTGTTGTCTACAATTTGAACCATTAACAATCAAAGAACCATTTGCATGCTTGAAGGTTTCCTTGCATTGCAAAATGGTTCTTTAGACTGACTGAGAATTTGTTATATACGGTTCTACGGTACTGTATAGAAACTATTTGAAAAGGGTTCTATGTAGCACCAAAAAGGGTTCTTCTACTGTTACAAGCTTGACATCGTAACAGCAGAAGGACCTTTTTTGGTGCTATATTGAACCATATACAACACATTCTCCATCAATCTGAAGTACAATTTTATGATGCAAAGAACCCTTTAAGCATGCAAATGGTTCACTGAGTGTTCATGTTTCTATACAGATCCACTGTCTTTATTAAAGAACCCTTGAAGAACCATTTTTTTAAAGATTGTATGACATTATTTTGTATGTTTAACAAGTATAATTTAGTGTTCAGTTTTAACATTTTGGTAATGTATACAATATATAATTCTAACGCTTATCAGAGAACTGTTGTATCCTCTTGTCCACTCTGACAAATTTTTCTCTAAAACTACAGTAAAATAGTGGTAGCTGTGGTTGTCAGTATTCTACTGTTTTTTTACAGGGTTACTACAATGATATAGTTAATTACTGTAAAATAATCTAAAAATGATCCAACTCTGTTTAACATCTAAAAATGCATATACCACTAAAACAATAGAGGATAAAGGATAAGGGAAGTAACATTTTTGTGGAATAGGAAGATTTACTGAAAGGCAGCAATGTATGACAAATTGTAGTCTATTGAATATATTTTAGAAACCAAGGTAAAATAATTTATCTTA